TTAGCTCCGACGGATAGCGTGGAAGAACTGCCGGGGACACTACTGGAAGAAAGTCAGTCTCTGAAAATGAAGACAAATAGATGATTGAGGAGTGCACTTCAAGCTGCGCAACTACTGTGAGAGTTTCGATCAAGAATTGTGCGTGTAATCCATGCCCGAACTAGAAAACCATGGTTCCGGATCTATATCAATGGCGATCCACGCCCATTTGGTAGACACTAGTCGTCGTGTTAACTCAAGTATCAATTTATCATGTTGCCCCGAAGCGGTCTAAGTATGAGCACGTTAGCCAGAGCCATTTGTATTAAACAAAACCCCCGAACTATGTGCCCCGAGGCGTTTACTCCAAGCTCTCCTTCCCTGGGCTCAAAAACCCACCTTTCAGACCTGCCCACGAACACATTCACACAACAAAATTGAACTCTCAGAACTGCGTAAGACGATTAACGTGAGATAACTAAAAATCCCGGAAGCACAGTATTGTGAATGTGATGTGCGGCACACACGTACACAAAGTAGTCGGTTCCTCAAATTTTAATGTTAAGCGCTCAACCCCTAGGTTAAATCCTCTCATATAAAGTTTAACGGTATGATTATGAAATTGTTTAAAGTGCGATTACAAACGTGTTTCGAAATGTGAGCATTATTATTTCATTGAATCATTTGGCCAAATTTTGAACTTACATGGACAAGGTGTGGCATTGAAATCACAATAGGTGCACCAGGTTGACAGGTGGACATGTCCAGTACACCACTTTTCATGCAATAGGGCCAATGAAGACAAAATCCGCGGTTTTTTTCATTTATCAGGGGAGAATCAAAAGTGTCCTCCAGTGGAAGATACTTGACCGTTGCAACACCCCGGATCCTGGAAACAGACCTGGGTGTGAAATAGATGGAACGACAAATGTCCGGTGCGAAAATATACAATCCTTCGTCGGGTTGCAAAAACGGGTGAAACAGACTGCCATCTGTTCCGTTCACCTGATTGGCTTGATCAGTCGTCCAACAGGTTTGGTACCTGGAACCATTATACAATCGAATGGTTCCAAACAGGGCAGGATTTTCTAGCCCCGTATCGATTTCCACATCCACACCATCGCTGTTGTTGCGATCCAGATACAAACCGATCCGAGAAGTTGGAACTGAAATGAATTTTTTTAGGAAATGCAACAACGGGTCTTCATAACCCCAAAGCAGCTCGCTAACGTTTCGTCGGACGAATAAACCTTCTCCAGACATTCGTTCAAACTGTTCAATTAGTCTGATGATAAACGTGGGTAGTGAACCCAAACGCTGTGCAAGGGATAGGTAGACCAAATTCACAGTGGTTATCTGATCCGATTCTGGACCGACCGATAGATCACGTTCGAAATGGTACTGTTTGATTTCACGGTAGCGAATAGTATGATTGTGCCAATTGACAACCACATGTTGCTTGAATCGGCGCTCTCGGTAAGTGTACGGTCCTTGTTGAATCACGTGTGGTTTCGAACCATTTTGAAACATGACCGGATTGGATAGTTGGAAAAAATAGAATTGTAAATAGATTGGCACGGACGGTTGAAGCCATTGTTTATAGATTAAGGAATTCGTATCGTCCAATCGAGTATTTTTCAGGACCATCCAGTGGAAAAGTATGCTCAGAATACTCAAAGCAATGACACTCAGGATGGCAAGCAGACCAGATACGATCACACAGATGATGAATGCGGATCGTTGCATTGGGTTAGCAGTAACCTACAATAAAAAAACTGAAACCATAATCTCCGTGGACATGAAAATTCACACAGGTTAGGCTTCAAACGATCTCGTTTGTATTTCAGCAGAAACCAGTTTCGGTGTGTGTGGCCTTGCTGTGATGTGATTAAGGGTTCCAAATCCTAGGAGTTCATTCACTCTCCACATTTACTCATGTCAAATGCGTCCAAGAACTATTGTGTGCTGGAGGAAAAAAAATACTGTTTTTATGACGGTTACACAAGTGCTCAGGTGTCCGAATCCATTTGGTATAGTGCCCATGTTAATCTGGTCAATCAGATTCATTTGGATACTCGCTTCGAAGTCATCGAGTAACTCGACCGATCTGGACACATCTTCGAAACGTATGTGACGTAAAAAACCAATGGCATTATTTCAAATGATATATATAACACTAATCTTTACAGATACGGCGCCAAAATAACCATGGGTTGAACGCAAAACAGAGTATAAGAAAATGGGGAAAATACCGGGATGAGTGACCTTTGGTAGTCGATCTATGGGAGTTGGCGAAACCCTGATTCCAAACCACCCACACTTGGCCTAAGAAGCTCACCAATCATCGGCACAATCGAACCGGGTTCCAAAGTGAGCTGACCATCGTGACGCTCACCGGCAAGAGCGCAACTTCAGGGTAATCTGATTACCCTGGAAATTTGACCACATCTGAAAGGCGAATGAACTAGTCAGTTAATCACCAGCTCCCAATGGATCGTTCAATCTCTACTCCACTCCGCTACCTTGTGGGTAGGATCCGTCTTCCTCTACTCCGGCCTGGGTAACCGGGTAGTACCACGGCCACGATCTAACCATGAACTTCAAATGAAATAACGGGGTAAGTAAAAGGAAATCAGGCTTCTGTCCGTTACAGCGTTGCTCTAAGGCTGACGAAACTCAATTCAACTTGAAGGTTACCTTGAGTCCTTTCGGTACGGTCCCCATATTAATGTTACTGGACTGATAACCACATTCATAAAGTATAATTCACACGTCTCTGAGAGAACTATTTGACAGTTGATACGTTCCAAGAAGTAAGTATATTTCTATGGCTAAAAATGGCTACACGTGACTGCACCACGATGAAAATGAAAATAATAAATGTCTTTCTACCTCCGTTTTTATTTATTCAATATACAAATGTACAGTCAACATTCAAGAAGGGGTCTGCGGCCATACAAAGGCTGCCTGGGAAGACACCTTGATCGTAAAACTGTGGTCTATCGCAAGCGTTATATATATCAACCGGATAGCCCTCTCAAAGCCTGACCATCAAAAAATCAACACTGATTTAACGTTTTTAGGTGGGTTGAATGCTAGTAATCATAATAAACCTGATGTGGGCGACTTTATAGAATATTTCACAATAAATAGTATATGAATGACTGGACAAAATTTCCCTGGAAGC